TAAGAGGGTATCGTAAATGAAGTAAGATAGTATGCTCCAAAACTACGATTATTTCTATTCCTAAGAGTAACTCAGATTTCCTGTAAGTCATATACACAGTCTTTTGAATAACCGAAAACAAGATTTTTAGGGTTTTAGATCGATTAGAAACGGTTGTCGTCGTGAAATTTATGTGTAAAATCGGCGCATATTTTCCCAGAAAAAATGGCGATTTAGGGTGGTGGTGTTAAAACGGCATTTTCTCAAAGTTGAAAAAGCATTTGACCTAAGAAAATATATGGTGCATTTTCCGATATAATAAGGTATATCTGGGCAAAATTTGAGCAACATCGATTTTTCAGTCGTGGCCGCTTTATGTTTGATTTTTGTGGACATCCTCTCTTAAGTGTTTTAAAAGCATTTCGTTTCACTTTAATGCAATAGTGAAAATTATAGTACTTACAATGCTTTAATCCAATTCACGAAAATATACCGCCATGTTGATCATTGCGAATCTTGCTAGGCCTTCCAGCGCGACCCAGTTTGGACATTTTGTGAAATTGACAGCCAGCCCGCAAGTTTACGACAGCCTGTAACTCGCCCGCGCTTGGAAGGCCAGGGACTAGGCTGCCTCTGAAATATGAACTCACTACTTAAAAAGATTTTCTGCGCTAGAGAAGAGCTGCCATCGCGGCTTGAGTTGACGGTATGACGTGTTCACTCTATTTATAATATTTGTAAAATATAAAGTGTTGCTTATGGTAGTTCAAGGTTTTAAATTTTGGTAATTTTTTTACTTAAATACTTATTAATACGATTTATTTTTGCGAGTATTTTCCTATTGCCTTTAAGTAAACCATATCCTCCGTTGCTCATATATTATAGATATGAATATTTCTTTTGACTTTTGGATTTATACGTTCGCTTGTAACACAAGAGGCATTCCACAAATTTAACAATCGAGGTTGATTTTGCTATGTAACTATACAATAGCGACTACAATAGTTGTACGTTGCGAGAATAATCTACATGTTTCTAAAGAGTTGTTTAGCCTGCTTATTTTTAATATTTTACACAAGTCTGCCAAACACGGCAAACAGTCAAAGAGAGCTATTTTGGTAGTATGACAAACCCGGAAGTTTAAATAGGTCGCAAAATATAAAACCGGTTTTGCAAGTTCTCAATCGCCAACTCAGCATGGAAGTGAGATTGGTATTGCGTGCCACCAGAGATTCCCTTCCGCCGTGCCTTAGTACAAATATACGCGGCTGGAAAAGAACCTCTGGAACCGGAGTAGGATGTCATTAATTCGGGAAAGAGTTGTTGATTTGTATGAAACCAAGTTTTTATATTAGTTTATATCTTGAATTTCAAATTGTTACTTGGAATTTCAAGTTGATATACTTGGAATTCTGAATAAATGCAAATTTCTCAAGATATATCAGACTGTCACAGCATGGTGGTTCAAATGGTATTGTCAAGCCAAACCAGTTATCTCCTTATAAGGATATTGAGAGGCTGCCGTTTAAATCACGAGATGTTTTGAACACAATACATATTACGACAAATTAAGGTGTTGTCTCAAACACAAAATACAGCTGACGTTGTGGACATCAATTTGTTACAGAATCTTCAAAGATTACATAATACATCTTACCAACTTTGGTAAGTCTCATTTCATCATCCTTGTAATATTTAACTAACTAACTAGAAATACATGCATGCAGTGACCCCTCGCCTTGCTAACCAAGCCACTATATCTTTCAAAAATGAAGTATCAGCAGTAGTTCTGGTTGCACAACATATTTTTATTCAAAATTGTATAATGAAAATAAAAAACCATTAATTTTAATTTTTCACAAATGAAAGTTAAGTCGCAGGCCTATGCATGGTCAGGCATATGTGGTAAATTCCCTACCACAGAATAAAGACATACAGAAGTGTAACTTCCATTACAAAACCATAAGGCGTTTTTTGCCAAAATAGCTGGCGGCCATGTTCTTAGCAAGTGCCCTAAAGAGAGGCATTCAAACCCTAGAATATTAAATTTTCAATATGTTTTCAGGGGGGGGGGGCGGTGACTGCCTCTCTTTAAGGCACTTGTTAAGAACATGGCGGACTGAAAAAATCCCTTACGCAAAATTAACCTGAAGTGAGATCTCTGTATGTACTTCCTCTCCGTCCCTAGCATGGGGGAAGAATTGTCAATGTCTCACTCACAGCATACCAGACAGAAGTCAATGTCCGTTGTTTTTTTCTGCTTAAGCACAAGTACTCGATGATTTTAAAACTTCCAAATCCTTAATTTCAAATGCCCCACCCCCGGCAAAGGTTTATTCAAGCCCCAGACATGCTTTACAGGAAAATAGCCCTGGATTGGGAGGGGTTGGGCCACGCTTAGATTTGACTGATGCATTAAAAGTCATTGAAAAAGAAAAACTTTTCATATTGCTACTATGAAATGGTTTATTCCAAACAGCATGACAGTGCAATTGCTAGAATAAGAAGTTATATTTACTGGACAGTAAATAGCAAATAAACAGAAATGAATTTAATTCATATCACGGCTAGTATTACAATTTCACTTTTATACTGTAAAAATATAAACATGCAGTCACAGATATGCAAAATTGGCTTATTTGTAGATTTAATGATAGCAGATAGCAGTTTAAACTGCATGTATTTCTACATTAATCATTGTGAGTACCGAGCGGGTTTACTATAAACGAACTAAAATTTAGTCTTTGGGAATTTATAACATCTTTCAACGATCGTTGGACATTCGGACACAGTCGGAAAAATGTTGATAATGTGGGAAAAGGGGTTCGATCCTTTCAAGAAGTCCCACACGATCACAAAATAAAATACACAAAAGAATTGGTAAATAAACTTTATATTAAAATCACAGTCACAGTTCGAAAATTGATCACTCCTTCGCACACGGAGGTCAACAACACTCTGTATCCCGCTCAAATCTACCACGTGATAATTAAATGTCAATCAAACTAAATATTCTAATGTCCCTAAATAGTTAACCCTAATTAATAATTAAACCAAATACGATAAAAACAACACAGTTTCCGACAATAGTATCAATGCTGTACCGTCGCTTGCATCTAACGATGAACGGTTGCTCATAAAAAATTACATATATTTGCGTGAGAATCTTCAATGTTACACTAATTGTCAATTGAGCAACAACACTTAGTTGACATGTTTTCATTTGATCAGCCAATAACGTTCAAGCAGCTACAAGCTTGATTGGCTTTGAAACCATGAAGTGATCATCACAAACGTTGAACTTTTTCAGTAAGAACATCGAACTTTGTGATGAGAATAGACAATGCGTTATCACCGTTAGTTGCAAGCGACGGTATTTCTAACCACGGAGTTATGGCAGTTAAGTCAGCATGAAATTGCCCGTGACATTATTAATATTACTGACTTGAACTTGTATGACAAACACTTTATTGGCAAATTTTAAGAAACAGAGGCTGGAATTTCATACTTGTATAGTATGAAATATATAATAATAATATAATATATATATAATATTTGTATTTCATACTTTCATTATTGGTATAGCATTGCGAAGACAAGCCACAAGGTACAGTCATAAATTTACACATTTGTAATTTTTATCTTATAATTAATGAACGAATAAAGTATATTTACAGAGCAATTACTGTATATATAGAGCATGGCCATGTATGATCACGATACTGTAGTTTCATGTATAAAGTCTGTCTGTATGAAGCGGGCTATCTGCTGATTTATGTCAAGAAAATATATCCTTTGGCACTCCCAAAGCCAAAAGGAAATTTGACTAAAAGAGCAGTTTACCCTTAATCTGAACCGAATATTTTTATCAACTTTTTTGAGAAAATCTTGAAGGCAAAACAGGGAAGAAAGTAATCGACCTGATGAGATGGCTGCATGGGCTAGCTGTTCTATATAAACAGCCCGGCTAATATATCAATTTAAAAGCGTAAATTTAACTGTCAAATACAGCCATTACTGCATTAATACTGTAAACAATTTTAACCATTGCAGATTTGATATAGTAACAATATAAAATTACATTGTTAATTTATCAAATCTGCAATGGTTAAAAACAACTGGCCGTCCCTTCCCCTCTTTTGACTTATGCCTTTGGGAGCACTTGATCCTGATGTGCCCCCGTTCACCGCACAACCAGCATATTATGCCTATATTTGAAAAAATAAAATTCTAGTATGTAGTATTATTAATCCATTGAGTTGCATTGCACCGTGATGCGCCCTACTTTAGTATTTTACTCTGTCTAACGCCAGACGATTTTACTCACCAAGGGGAGAGCGCTGGCGCTTAATGGGTTTTAACCCATTGAGTAGCAGCACTGTCCACTTGACAAGCAAAATCATCTGGCGTTAGACAGAGTAAAATTGTCTTGCATTAGACAGAGTACTAAAATACTAAAGTATGGCTAATGAGGGTGCATTGCCTCTTAAAGGATTAACTCGTCAAGTGGAAATACACCAGTATGCACTCAACTTTGTTATTGTATTAGGTATAATACCAGACAATTTTATTTGTCATCGGGAGAGTGCTGCCACACAGTGGGTTAGTCTGTTATTGGGTCATACAGTATTTATTTGAAGGAATAAGTTAAGGCTGTTATTTCTATGGGCCTTTTTTGGGGGTTGTTGTTATGCTTTCAATATGTTCACTGTACTCAAAATTGATCCTACTTCGAGCAATTTTTCAACATGGCCTATCTGCCCATGTGTCCAGTTAACCCATTGAGTCGCATTGCGCGCTACTTTAGTATTTTACTCTGTCTAACGCCGGACGATTTTACTCGTCAAGGAGGGAGCACTGGCTCTTAATGGGTTAATGTTCTAAATATGCAGAATTGATTGTGCTTATTTTTTGTATTTTCCAGGAACATTGTGAAAGAAACATTTGTTTATCAACATAAAATAATGACTAAAATTTATTGTAAAGTTAATTGGTCCAATATTTTTGACTACACTGTAATATCACATCACTATTATAATATTTTGTAGTTTTAGTAAAGTACATACGTGCACGGCATGCCACAGCATAATGGCCACGAAGGCCACACTTATAGCAACGTCCTAAATTTAAAGAAAATACAATCATTTTTCAAGAATATTCATTTAGGTTACAGTACATACTGGAAGTGCACACACTAAGATGTTGATAGTTTACATTTTCATGCTAAACAAAATATTTAACAAAATATAGAGTATACTTACCATTGCCCATTCTCCTTGCTTGATTTTCTAAATTAGAAAAATAGAATCAAAAGAAGTTAAATATATATTATGTATATACCTGACAATTGGGATAATATAGACAATTGGGATCAGTTATTTGAAAACAGGTTGGCCTAGTTGGGTTAATATGAAATTCAAAGCAAAATTCAAATATTGTATATAGACGAAAACGATGTGTTAAAGTTTGACCCAGAGCTAGTGCTAATCGTGCGTTCAATAACAGACCTCAGTAGTGTTTAAATGTATTCCAAGAACTATACCGTCACGACGTTGTGGGTGTCGTTCAAGATTAACTGTAATGAGAGAATGTTGATTAGTTTGAATTACACAAGAGAGGTATAATTAAACTTTATAAAAAATGTACGTTTTTACCATGCCGTCGACGCTGTTGTCGTTCTTGAACTGAAAAAAAAGTACTAACTGTAGTTAGATCAAATTACATATTACAGATATAGGTATGTTTACTTAGTATATCAACATTAGAACCATACCATTTGCATCTTGTTGTCGAGGTTGTTCATTCACTGAAATAAAATCATGCACCTTTATTGTAGAAGTAATAATATAATTTATTATAAGTATGATTGAACCATACTGAACATATTTTTTAATAAACTTTTAAGTTAACTTACATGGCTGGACCTCTACTTCATCCTCAACTTCACTTTCTATAGTTAATTAGAAAAAAAATGATGCAAATATACATAAGAAATCTGTAATATACTTAATCTGTAATACATTGTACATAATATATTCCTAATTATCAATCATTATCTTATTGCAGAAAACATTCACAACTCACCATGGAGAAAATAATTGAAAGTTAATCCTTTCTTGTCACAATTGAGTACTTCAGATTTTATTATTTCTCAAACAGAATGACCTAGCTTTAAGAATTTGTGTTTTAAATATATAACTGAATTCTTACCATCATCAACATGGACGTCTAAAATAAAAGATGTTGTGTTAGAAGGTTAAGGATGAAGTTACTGTGTCACATGCATGATATTGCAAATTGGTAACCCGTATAATGTTATAACGATGCTCTGTAAAATGAAATTGTCAGTACAGTATATACACTTTATTACATTGTATAGCTACTGCAGGAGAGGACAATCTACAACTACAATGTATTGTACTTACTTGGTAATTGGGTTGAATTTTAACATGTTTACATGAGAGAATATTTCATTGTGGCCGGCCAAGAGGGTTTTCGAAAAACCAATTGGTCACAACTTTACCTTTGCATGGTCACTGGAATATTGGTCACAAAAATATACCTCGAGCTCACAAATATACCTTGAGGTCACAAATATACCTCTGTACAACTGTAAGCAAACAATTGGTCACAACTGGCCTCTGTTCACACCTAGTATTTACTATTAGTTGTAAGTCCATTTAATTTTATGTGAGGTCCAACCAGCTAGAACAAATGTTGCTTTATGTAAAACCAAAGAGTAGATATTATATACCGCATATTTATTGTAATGTACATACCAAGAATAGCAGGATCGTCCAGTTCCGGTAATTCCACTAAAATGAAATAGTTATAATATAGGGATTAGTTATGAAATAGCCAAGTTTATAAGTTCAAGCTGTACCTATATGTTCAATATGGTTTTATTCGCTTATTCAAAAAATTGGAGCAACTTACTTTTGTGTTTGTTAAATCTTTGCTATAATTATAAAAAAAAATTAAAGGATATCATTAATAAAATGTTTACATTTTTTGTAAACGAAGATCTTACTATATTTAACAAAATTCTTTTTGATAAGGCCCGAAGATCGCTAGATAAGTTACCAGTATGGACCGCAGACGGGAAAGTTCTGGTTAGGTCAGCGAATGCTAAAATTGTACGACTGAGAAAAGTAGAGGACATTGAGAACGTGTTAAATGTTAGTTAAATTTTTTCTACCCGCATCCTACATGTTATATACACTTGTGCTTATATAGCATGCTTTATTTATCTTCTATCTCAAACATGCTTTCATTATATTTTAATATTCAGATATTTGTGTGTTCACTTGTGCAGCCCGAGGTAAGTTTATTGTGTATTAAATTTTGTAATGGGGGTTAGTTTAGAGATTTATAGAGCAGCTATCGGGGTGTTTAATCGACGTGTATTTACAATTCATAAGAAATTATCAAATTTGTCTTCGCTTTTAATTTGTAAATCCTTAGTTAATGGTGTTATTTTATATTTAATATTGTGTATACTATTGATGGTAGCTGGAGATATTGAGACCAATCCTGGCCCTCCTCGAAATTTAACTTTGAATATGGGTCACATTAATGCTCGAAGTTTGAATATTGAAAATAAATTTGATGAAATATGTTGTCTTGTCCATAATGTAAATTTGGACATTTTGGCCGTTTCAGAAACCTGGCTAAATGACAGCATTTCTAGTGATTCCTTAAATATTCAAGGTTTTGCACCGATAATCCGCTTAGATAGACAGAATGGTCGGAGGGCAGGTGGAGTTGCATTGTATATTTCATCTAGAATTGCATATAGGCGACGGTTGGATCTCGAAAATTGTGAATTTGAATTGTTGTTTGTTGAATTTAAAATTTGCAATACTAATTTTGTTTGTGCAGTTTGTTATCGGCCACCAAATTATAGTGCTACTATGAACTCTGCTTTCTTAACGCATTTGCAAAATTGTTTGGATCGAATACGTTTAATGCCTAATACCTTTGTTGTACTCCTTGGGGATTTTAATGCTCATTTCGATGAGGGTTCTGTATCACAAAGCGCCGATTTTGGTGCTTGTTTATATAGTTGGATGGAATTTAATAATTTATATCAGGTCATAAAGGACCCGACGCGAGTGACATCACATAGTGCAACCCTGTTGGATCTTATAATAACAAATTATCCAGGCTACTTTGTGTTTTCTGATGTATTAAGCCCTCCTAGCGGCTGTGATCACTCTTTTGTTTATGCTCGTATAAATGTTTTCCCTGATAAACAAAAATGTTATAAACGTCAGATTTGGGACTTTAAAACAATTGATTACGCGGTATTACGTCAAAATTTACTTAATATTGATTATGATAACATAGTTACGAATAGTATAGATATAGATAATTTATATTATAAATGGCATAAAGAATTTCGTGAAACTCTTGAGATTAGCATACCTAATCGAACAGTAATAATTCGTCCTAGAGATAAACCTTGGATGAATTCGGGTATAAGAAATGTAATTCGTAAGAGAAATAGACTGCTAAAATATTATTGTAGACATAAAAGTCCTGAGGCATGGGAAAATTATAGAGCGCAAAGAAATTTGACAACGTCACATATACGCACTGCCAAAGAGAACTTTTATGTTAAACTTAATGAGAAATTGCAAAACCCGGAAATAGCCCCCAAGAAATGGTGGGGCTTAATAAAATTACATTATGGAAATAAGATTCATTCAAATATACCAGCGTTGGTAGACGGGGATCGAGTGATAACGGATTCGAAAGAAAAAGCTATATTATTTAATGATTATTTTTGCTCTGTATATGAAATTGAAAATGCAGATACTGTTTTACCGAGTTTGGATGTTTTTCAAGATGTAAAGTTCATTGGTAATATTTCCACTTCAACTCAGGAAATAAACATTTTACTTAAGAATGTTGACGTTTCTAAAGCATGTGGCTATGATGGTATAGGAAATAAAATACTTAAGATTTGTGCAGACAATATTACAAATCCTTTATGCCATATTATTAATGAATCTCTTTCCCAAGGAATTTTCCCCTCTATGTGGAAACTTGCTAATGTTATACCGATATTTAAGAAAAACGATCGCCAGGATAAACTCAATTACCGTCCAGTGTCATTGTTGACATGTCTTTCTAAGATTTGTGAAAAAATTGTTTTTATTAGACTTTATAATTTCTTGCTTGAAATAAAATTTCTGACCCCATTTCAATCAGGATTCCGACCCGGGGATTCTACTATTAATCAACTTATATTAATAACCCATAAAATATATGAAGCTTTAGAACAAGGTAAAGAAGTGAGAATGGTTTTCTTAGATATTAGTATAAGGCTTTTGATAAGGTCTGGCATAGAGGACTCCTTCTTAAGCTTGAACGACTTGGTGTGCGAGACCCTTTATTGAAATGGTTCAGATCATATTTAACCGGGAGAAAACAACGGGTAATTATTGACGGTCAGTCATCTGACTGGAAACAAATTGAAGCGGGGGTACCCCAAGGTTCTGTACTAGGACCTTTGCTTTTCTTGATTTATATTAATGACATTACTACAAATCTTCAATCTAATTCTTTTCTTTATGCCGATGATACTTCTCTACTTGAAATAGTGGACGATCCTGCTTTGACTTCAGCAAAGCTAAATAATGATCTTGAGCTTATAAATATATGGACTAAGAAATGGCTTGTAACTATTAATCCAGATAAAACTAAATCTATGATATTCTCTGTCAAATGTCAAAAACCTTTACATCCTCAGCTAAAGTATGATAATAAAGCCATTGAATCTGTTAGTAATCATAAGCATCTAGGAGTCACACTTTCGTCTAATCTTTCATGGAGAGCTCATGTGTTTAATATTTATGAAAGAGCGTCAAAAAGATTAAATTATTTTAAAGGTTTGAAATTTAGAATCAATAGAGAAGCTTTAAATCAATTGTACAAGGCACTTATAAGACCCGTTTTAGAATATGCTGATGTGATTTGGGATAATTGCTCCTTGAGTGAGTGTGATCTCATTGAATCAGTTCAGTATGAATCAGCAAGAGTGGTCACGGGTGCTATGAGGGGAACTAGTAGATCCAGATTGTCGGATGAATTAGCATGGGAAGATATGAATACCAGGCGTTCTATGCATAAGCTTGTTTTATATTATAAAATTGTTAATAATCTTACACCAAGCTTTTTATCAGACTTGTTACCCCAAACGGTGCAACAAAGGTCGGGCCTTTTTCTGAGAAATTCTGCAAATTTTACCTTGTATATGTCAAGGACTGAAAGATTTAAAAAGTCATTTTTTCCTTCGGCTACGTTTATGTGGAACAATCTCGAGCTTAGAGATCGTGATTTATCCTCTGTTAAAGTTTTTAAACGCTCGTTATGCCAATATTTTGATATTCAAGCATATAATAAGTTGTATGATTTTGCGAATGATAGGTTTTCTTCAATCTTGCATACTCGTTTGCGTTTGGGATGCTGTGGTTTAAATTATTATTTGTTCAAAATAAATTGTATCCTGTCGCCTATGTGCATTTGTAACACGGAACATGAAACAGTTGCCCATTATTTGTTAAGATGTCCCCGTTATGCTGCTCTTAGGCATAACTTACACTCGAGTGCTGCACAAGTGTTTGGTGATAATTGGTATCTATTGTCAGATTTGCAACGAGTAAATATTCTTCTATCTGGTTCTACTAGATTGAATATTTCCGAGAACCAAACTATTTTTAAATCTGTCCAGTACTATATAAAGCAAACTGAACGTTTTTCTTAGTTCAACCTACCAATTATCGCTTTTGTCTTTTGTTGTGTGCTTTATGGAGTTTTAACTCTCACATAATTAATGTAAATGTTGCGTGAGCCCCTTTGATGAGCTATTGCTCTTGGGCAAACGCAATTTCAATAAATATGTTTATACAAAAAAAATACAACATCTCCACTCCCAGTGCATATTAAAACAAATATTGAATAAATTTTTATCTTGATATTGAACAGCAATGTTTTTGGCCTTGAAGCAAAGGCTGTTTAACATCAGCTAAGAAGCATACTAAAAATAATTTTAAAATATAGTCGTACCTTTCCGCCAAATTATTTGAAATACCTGTAAAGAACAACAAAAAAAACTGTTAAAAAACAAGAAAAACTTTTTTGTTGTGACAAACTCGAAGTAAATGAAGTTATTTTTGCCCAAAACATATATATTCTACAAATAGTAGTGTAATTATTTTTCGTTCAAAGATACAGTGTGTGTTCAAAAAACTTGAACAAATTTTAAAGCTTTTTTTTCGGAAAAAACTTACTGTCAGTTTATACTGCCTCACAAAAAAGCCACAAACCAAAATTTCGCGCGCTTCGTATTTACGTGGATGTTGCGTGTGAATTTTCGGTAACCATAGTAACACACGCAATATCCACGAAGAGTGATCTTAGTCACAAGAAGTATAAAAAACATTTAATTTATAAACACTAAACTTTAATACGAGTTATACCAATCAACGACTGATTTTACAAAGCTTAAAAAAATCACTAACCGGTGGATAGCGCAACCCGGCCTTCGTTTTAATGGCCCCTTGCACATGACGTCACAGTGCCTATGATGATGCATCTGGAGGACAAATTAGCAATCTATGCATAATCTAACTTTTGTAACAAAGCAATTTTTGTAAAACTTTATAATTATTTTGTATTAAAATGGTCAATTTTTCGCTATATGTGGTTTTTGTACCCGAACTAATAGTGTTAGGGAGCATTTGGAGGACACTTTAAGGATTTATGACGTCAGTGCAATGGGTTTATAGGCTTCGTACAACCGGCCCCTATAGTCTTGCTCTGAAGGGAATTGTTTTATCAATAGAATAGTTACTCAAAACAGGAGAAAAATCTTACCTTTATATGAATTTGGTTCAATTTCTAAAAAAATAAAATATTATGTAGAACACAAAGACAAAGTTTAAAATTTATAGTATACTGTATATACGTCATAATATTATTTAATATAAAGTACAGGTATGTCAACATGCAGCCAACCTCAAAAACATAATATATAATATTATGTCTAGGTAACAGGCAATGACAAACTCTCTGAATGCCTTCCTCAAAAACACAATAATAGAGGCATAAACTACACCTTTAAAATTGTGCCTAGTAACAGGAGAAATAACCTCGAAAGCACAGTATATGTGCCCAGAATACTATACTGGTGCTTGAACACCACAACTCTTCAACTTATGACAACTCGTGACTTATTATATGTTTGGACAGTTTTCTCTGCTAGCACTTTAAGTCGCTGTTCAGCTTCGAGTCGTTTTTGCATATTTTTACTCCTACCAATTGCTTTCGGGCGATCAAATGTCATATAGGTTCAAACACAATATCATGAATCGATCTCACCCGTGACGTAGCTACAAACGTACATCCAGCAACTTTTTCTCCTTTACCTAAATCAACAACAGCTTTTGTTAGTGTCTGTCCTTGTGACTTATGAATAGTCATTGCGTACCTTAACCGCAAGGGCACTTGTTGCCTTGACAGATACTTTCCATCAGCCACCCATTCAAACACTTTGGGTGGCACAGGTACACATTTAGAACATGCATCTAGGAATGCAGGACCAGAGTAACTATGAAAGTGTACCAATACTGCTATTGGTAAGTTCGGTGGACCCATATTCTCTGCAAACCAAATCTGCTCGATAGTGCCAAATGAACCATTGCAGAGACCAACTTCAGCCCACAAGTTGCAAGTGAGCATTACTTCTGCTTTTGTAGACAAAAACAGAACAGCATCCAATCCACCAGCTTCGTCTGATGTGGCTGCACAGGCACCATGACCAGAATGCTTTGCCTGAATTTTAGCAACAGGTTGTCCAAGCTGCAATAGCTTCCCGTAATTGTATTCAGCGACACTTTTCTTGTCAAAGTACAATCGGATGGCATCAGTGAACTGATCCATTGGTACACTTGTTGTTGAATGCTCCAACATTAGTTTCCAGTCCTCCTGTGTCACTTCTCCATTTCGCATTCTCATCAGTAGGGCTCTAAAAGCAACTGCCTCGGCATCCTCACCAACCTGACGCATAACTTGATCTAAAATAATAACAGACTCAAACATGAGATACAGACTATGTCCATGGTCACTTACTATTGTTCCATTACCTGAAACATACATTGGCTTATCACCAACAGGTGGTAATTGACCAAAATCACCCATTAGAATTACTGACATACCACCAAAAGGGATATCTTCCTTTCCAGTACCAGCACGCAATCTATTGTCAAGCCATGATAGCATTTTATGTCCAATCATTGACATTTCATCAATAATCAGAAATCTTTTACCTTCTAGCCTCAGCTGTAACCGCTGTAGTGAGTCACCCTGCAAATCCCTATATTCACGGATAGGAAGTTGAGCAGCAGAATGTAATGTTTGACCATTAATACTAAAGGCTGCAATCCCAGTAGTTGCTGTAACAACACACTGAGCGGCTAATACTTGTTTCGTTGCACTTATTAAGTATGTCTTACCTGTGCCAGCTGTTCCACACACAATCATATAAACAGGCTCAGCATTATCACCATTCTGAGATGTGATGATATTGTAAGCAAGGCGTTGTTTTTCATTCAGGGTCTCCGGATCAATTACACATTGTTGATCATCTTCTCGAAAATGCTGACCATGTTCTTCAGCCTCCTTTCTCTGACTATAGATCCATCCTGGAGATTCCCTTAACAAATCTTTGGGCACAGCTCTTACCGTTTCAAACCAGTCCACTGCTTCATTGTCTGACATCCGATTACCTGATTCACCATAATCTTGGTTAATTCTGCATAACAACATCCAATCATCAACTTCCTCCTCGTCATCAGGGTCAACTTCACTTTCGTCGTCATCATCTTGATTGTCACTTGGATCGTTTTCAAAGCTTTGACCACATTGCGCATCATGAACTCTGTCTGTTTCATCGGAATACCTAAACACATTTTCTTCCGCCAATTCATCTGTCATAAGAAAAAATTCATATGCATTAATAAACATTTGATCACTTTCATCTTCGTTGTTCCAAGCATTTGATGGTTGATCCTCCCATGGTTTAAACTTTATTAGTTGATATTTGCAGTATTTTCCAAAATCAGGACCAGCAGGATTAGCAGAAATCTTTGGAAATGTCCGGACAATGTACGGATTTGCTCGTTTTGTCAGCTCACCTCTGACTTTGGTGTACTGTGATACATATTGCATCAAATTTAGCTGAGACAAGCCTGTATACCTACTCCTCAATTTTGTACGTTCTGCATATTCTTGTAGCGCAGATTTTTGAAGTACCTCATCGCCTTCATTCTCTGCATCAATATTAACTTTCCTGCTGTTATCTAAAGAAATAGTAACAAAACTAAATGTGCAGCCAACCAGTGGTAGACTAAGTAACATATGCGCAGTTTCTTGTGCTGCCATATCTCTATCCCCAGCAACTTGGATCATTGCTTTCTTGAAGGCCGAGGAGACTTGATCATCATTCTGTAATGAGGACACAGACAATTTTAGTATTTCTGATGCCGATTTCGATCGGGGTTCTCCTTTCGCAGCATACTTGGCCATGTATCTTGCACAAGCCTTCTCATCTACAATGACTTGCAAATCTACATTTGCCCGCCAGTTTTCGAGCATCACCCTGTTGTGTGAATTTAATCTTTGATCATTTCGTTTGGTATGTAACTCAGACTCAACAGACTTCGTATTCTTACCTACCACCAGCTCAAGACTCAGTTCTGTTTCTTCTTGCAATGGCTTTGGAAAACCAAATCTGCATTCTGCAAGCAGGTCCACTCTTTTCTGTTTCAAGCAATACGCTGGACTGCATCTAGTGTGTCTTTCTACAGTATTAACTAACCTGTGATAATCATTGTCACGATTATCCACTGTTGTAGCGCTAACAGCAGATGGGTGAGGATCTGGTATCCTCCAGGTGTCATCTGGCAATTCCTCATTAAAAGTTTTCACCAGCCAGTCAACATACCTTTAAAATAATAATAACTTATTATTTAAACATGTGCACGCTCGTTGTATTAGCCAAATATTACCGAATTTGCAGTCATTAAGTCATAAAACAGTTTCAATCACACCATTGCATGACTTAGTGAAAATATATTTTCCTGTGAAACCTTTATAACCACAGTTAAATTTCCACTTTTTATTTATGTAATTTCTTACATTCCAATGAAATCTTCAAAAATTAAAGAAATTGCCGTATTGAAAATTCCATTGAGGAAAATTGAAACCTTTTAAGGAATTTTATAAGGAATTCTTGTTTACATGCAAAATATTGTTACTTTTTCAATTTTAATGTAGCAAAGTTAATACTACCGTCTTATTATTTAATAAAATATGCATAATAATAAAAAAAGATGGGCGAAAGGCCTTTCGAAATCGTGGAGATTGGCTATCTGCATATATTATGAGCTGGATATTTGGTGAGTGTTTTGTGTATTTAGGCAGATTTACACTACACAACTTTTCCCTTAATGCAACCTGCTTGTACAATTTGAGTTGTACACTTGTACTGTGTAAAATATCAAGCACACAAGTTGACACTGTATAACTCGCATTTACTCGCTTACGTTGTCTTAGCTATAGTTGTGTGCTTGGTTCACCCAGTACACTCAAGTTGTGTACATATATCAGGTTGTATTGGACAGCAAAAGTTGTGTCAGTAGTTTATCCTGCCTTTACATTTAAAGTAGTAGTCATATTATTAAATATCCAAAATAGGCAGCAGTGGTTAATACATGCACAATACAAAATTCGCTTTTTAGTTGACATGAACATTTGACCTGCACACTTTTAGTTGATATCAAAATTTGGGAGCATGCCTTAGTACAGTTTTCCTGGTATTTTGAAATGCTATTGCAATATATTGAGTAGGAGGTACAGTAAGACATCTCTAAAAATTCAATGTTCTGACTATGAGAAGCGAATCCGGTATTGTGTAACTACTCCAATAATTCGGATCCAGTATTGCGGCGGTACATGCATGCATTTGAAGGCCTGTACTTGCAGGATAAAGTTATAATACTTTTGAAACAATTATCCCACAACAGATTCTGCACAGTTAACTTGGTCTACACTACAAATATATGGAAACATTAATATGGAAAATATTTTTTCTTACTGTATTAACAACTTCTCAGCATCTTCTCCCTGTCTTATCACATCCCCGCAAAGGAATTCAAAATCATCAGGTGACATTTCATACCTTGTTGTTTCACTCTCTAGGAATGCAACACATGCCTTATAACGTAATTCTCTAATATCAGGGTCATTTTTTAACTTTGCACATCCGTGGCAATGAATACTTCCCCTAGCTTGGTACTCAAATCGATACCAGTGCCACTCAGCATCCAAGACGCCATTAAGCCAATGTCTAACAAACTCCTGCAGTCGCTGCATAAAGAACCAATCAGTCAGATGGGGATTGTCGATTACAGCTTGTGCTCGCTCAGATCTGCTTGCACCTTCATCATTTTGCAACAGCCTCTGTAAGTCTGGCCAATGCATGTCAGCTGCACTAAAGGTAAAGAAAAAAGTAGGGCAGCCTTTTTGTTCAATCAGGGCTAGCAATTCCTGCAGCCGCTGATACCAATACTGATTCGTACCTTGTACTTTGGACACATAGCGTTGCAACCTATTTACCATTTGATTTGCACTCATGGAATTGACCATCTGCTTCAGTTCTTCCATTGTCATGTTTGCATCAGCAGGATATTGACGCAAGTAAACGTTTGCTTGTGACAACAGCTGATGCCGTTGTTTCATGTTTAACGCCCAATAAGGAAACCGAGGGTGAGAAGCAAACCTCCATTCAAACTTACCATCTGCAAGCATCTCTGCAAACTTCATTAAATGTTTGAAAGCTTCAGCTAACGTTATACCATGTTGTCTTGCCCTATTTGTCGGGTCACCCTTCCCATAAGGAAACAATGTAGGAAAGGCCATAGTAGCTAAACCATCTGTTTTAACTTCATCAACAAGATTACCTTCAGTAGATGGCCAGTCTAACGGATCAACCTCATTTACTGCATCTTGGATAGCCGCACCTTGTTTTCTCTGTCTTTGACGCTAAGGAATAAACGATGTACTGCCACTTCCTGAAACTAACTCTTCCACACTTGCATTAGCACTCATTACTGGGTCTTGGGGAGGCCCCTCATTTTCAACATGAACTGAAAGCTCATTTTTATCAATGACATACCTTAGCTCATCAGGAATACCATTTCTGGTAAACTTTGGATGACATCTCTATCAATTTCAATATTTTTAAAGAACGGATTGTTTGTCTTTAACCATAACACAGCCTCAAGAACTTTGTGTCGACGTACAGTAAAGTCTTGATGTGTGTCTTCTGCACCATGTTTTCGCACAATCAAAACAGGCAAGTCTGCCACACGAGAAGGCAACCTATTCAAGAAACTTTGAATATCTTGAGGCAAGTTAAGTACATGTCCTTTATACCCCCTCTGACCCCCATGTTTTCTATATACTCTCATAATGGGGCAAACCCTTGAAATTAACATTTCTTCTACCTGTGTCAAACCTCTCAATTGTTCAGGAACTGTTCCTGGGTCCATGTCATTCTCCGCACTAAATTTCTTGGGTGATTTCTTGTCTCTCTTGCACCGGTAACAAATATATACTTCTGATGCCAAGTTTTGCCGTGTCGGCCAAGCCGTTCTTTACACATTGTACATTGTCGATGCTCTAAACGTTCTTGATCTAAATGAAAACTGTGCATTTCATTTTGTACAAACTCTAGCTCATGCAGAGGGTTGTCAACATTTTGCCAACCACCCTCGTGTAAATATTCATTTCTACTTACCCCTTCTGGCTCTGCTTCATGAACAGACTCAGTTTTCTCGTCTACTTCAGAAACAGAATGAGATATATCTACACTAACTGCTGGATCTACAGACATACTCAACTGCTCATTTGCTTCATCTCTTTCTTTTCTCTCCTCAGCAAGTCTATCTTTCCGTTCTTGGTCATTTTCACTTGCAATTGATGTGTTGAAAGTTGCTCGCAAATTTTTAAGTATTTTTGCACGCTCATCAACTGTTTTGGATGCTCGGTCTTCTTTTCTCCTTTGTAAGTAGTAAGGGTCGAGCCGGTTATGCCGCAAAATGAAAAAAATGCGGCAAGTCGAAAATCGATGTTTTGGTCTACGTAGAGCCTCCACGAGCACTAAAACTTGTATTGTAGGCCACTTCTAAGCATTATTTAAAACAGTGCTACAAACGTTAAATTACCGATTCTAGACCTATTATAAGCATATTTTCACCCGCCCCCTTCCCTTTTAAGCTCATATTCCTGTTTAAATCACCATTATATTTATATTTTTATTAAATGTAGACATCATCTATTAACCTAAAATGTATTCTAAAGTGTATTCTAAAATTGCGGCATAAATTAACAATAAATGTCATTTAAATACTATTTTTTATTTTTACCTATATAATATAGAGAAATGTCAAGTGAGCTTATGCCGCAAAATTTACAGATACCTAAAAAGTCAACTATCCGCACACACTCCAGTCTTAACTTTCCCGTGAACTCAAAGTCGACTCTTTCAACAAAACTAAAATCTTCATTAAACATACGGTATAATATAGAAGAACAAAAAATGGAAAACAACCAAGATCAAATCATCCGACTCATCAGCTTTACAACGAGCGTGTATAAATATATTAAAGATAGTGACAACCAAAAGTTCATATCCAAAAAGTTCTCAGATGTTCAAGAGAAGCTAGCACAAAAAGGTAAGACGTTCCCCGACAATCAAATATCCAACATCCAGCTAGTAAGGGAGTTGTCCGGAAAATACAACATTGAAACTAAGAACTTACCTCAATCTAAAGATTCCCCACAAGAAAAGTTAGTAGGTAAGTTATTAGGTGAAGTGGGTGAAAAGTCATCAGCTAAAACTCCCCCACCTCCAAAAACTTCCTCACCAAGAAAACTCAGGACTGAGATGAAACTAGCCCCTTCATTTACAATCCCACCCTTCACACCAAAACGTGAACAACCAACTCGAAGAGAAAGTTACAAGATACCTTCATCAAAGTTGACTCCAGAGTTCATGGTCCCCGGAAAAGTAAAACCTGTAAGACCGGTTCCAAAACCTAGGACTAGATTACCTCCTCAGCCAAAGGAACGTCCAATCCCAAAACCAAGGACAAGGATACCTCCACAACTAATTCAAGAAGAACCTCCACAACTAATTCAAGAAGAACCTCCCAAGTTACTCCCCAACACAAGGTTTGTCAAGGAACTTGAGGATATAGTTGAACCATTCTCTACAGGAAAACGTCCTACTTACAAGAAGACATCTCACTCCTTCTCCAACCTTATAAAGAGATATAAAATCCAAATTGTTAGTAACGATCCTCATATACAGTTATCATCATCACTTCCATCACTCGTAGAAATCCTCACTAAAAACCTAATTATAATGGGAGGGGTCAAGTACCATATAAATCTAGATGTAGAGTTTATCAAACCGAAGGGCTGGGAAGGATATGAGCTAGCCGACTATGGTGCCAATCATGTTGCCATTACCTTACTTCAAGGTGGTAATATAGAAGAGTCGTTAGAAGAGGCAATAGCCCTGGTTCAGCAGAGAGTTGATGGTTTCATTGCCAGAGGAAGTGGCTGGTCTATCGCCCAGCTTAAAAGTATGAACATAGTGGTCAACACATATGCTCCACTTGAAGGATCATCATATCTTGACCTACCGAAGTCACTCCAGAAGCCACAGTTAGGTCTAAGAAACATTTTCAATAAAGATGATAACGAGTGCTTTAGGTGGTCACATGTGAGATTCCTGCGGCCAATGACCCGAGACCCCAAACGTATAACGAAAGAGGATAAAGAAGTCGCCAACTCTCTAAATTACGACGGAATTACCTTTCCAGTGTCTATAGACCAGATTCCCCGTATAGAGTCTCAGAACAACCTCAACATCAATGTTATTGGTCATAAGTCAGGTAAGACCTTCTATCCAATCCACGTCTCAAAGTCCACATTCAAAGACACCATGACACTTCTCCTCATAACTTCAGATGAATGTAATCATTATGTTCTCGTAAAGGATTTCAACAACCTTCTCCATTCATATACAAAAGACAATCATAAGAAACATTTCTGCATAAGTTGCTTCCAAAACTTCAGGTCAGAAGAGCATCTCCATAAGCATCTAAAGGACTGTCTAGTGATCAATGGTAAACAAGCAATCCGAATGCCAGTTGAGGGTACAACGGTCGACTTCAAGAACCATAAGAATCAATTATTCGCACCATTCGTTATATACTCAGATTTTGAATGCATACTATCACCTGTTGAGTACAAGTCAGGTAATCACACAAAAGTCATTCAAAGGCACAAAGTTGTAAAGTATGGATACAAAAGAATCTGCAAGGAGAACGAACATCTTTCAGGTGAATATAAAACTTACACAGGGGAAGATGCATGTAAGAAGTTTGTCTCAACAATAAGGGCCGAGCAAAAGGAATGTAACAAGTTGGCAAAGCAATTCTTTAATCAAAAAGGTGAGATGGACGAAGATTCAATCGCGCACTTTAGACAACAGAAAAGTTGCTACATTTGCTCTAAAGACTTGTCCACCACCAATAAAGTTGCATACTTCCATAGAATCAATTCTAACTATCTAGGTGCAATCCATAAGTCATGCCAAACTAAATTCTTCAAGATCCCAGTCGTGTTTCACAACTTACGAGGATATGACTCTCACCCAATAATCTTAGAATCATGTGAACAAAAGATTGACCTGACAGTGATCGCAACCAACCTCCAAAAATACCTTTCATTCTCATTTGGTAATCAACTGGTATTCATTGACTCTCTACAATTTATGTCAACATCACTCGAGAAGTTAGTCTCCAACCTTAAGGGTCAAGCATCAGACGAAGAACTCGCGCTTAAGTTTCCAATTACATCTAAGCGTTTCCAAGGAGAGTCACTTAAACTTATGACTCAAAAGGGTGTATTTCCATATGACCACTTCACTTCACTTGAGACTACAAAAGAAACTCAACTCCCATCGAAGGACGCGTTCTTCTCAACATTATATGACACTCCGGTCTCAGATAAAGATTATCAGCGAGCGCAAACTGTATGGTCACACTTTAACATGTCATCGTTCAACGACTACCTCAACCTCTACCAAGAAACGGACGTGTTACTGTTAGCAGATGTATTTGAGAACTTCAGGTCAACTTGTCACGCAACCTATAAACTTGACCCCGCAAATTACATCTCAAATCCATCATTAACCTGGGACGCAATGCTGAAAGATAAGATGGAAAGAGGAGGCGCCGCAATCGAACTTCTAAGCGACATTGAAATGCATAACTTCTTCGAGAAAGGAACACGTGGTGGTGTCGCACAAATATCACATAAGTTTGCAAAAACAAATAATAAATTCAAGTCTAACTTCAACCCCAAAGAAAAGTCAACATTCTGTAAATACTGGGATGTCAACAACTTATATGGAGGATGTATGTCACAACCACTTCCCTATGGTAACTTCAAATGGGAGGATCCAGATATAATTGACTACAAACAATTCCTTGAAGATTCCCATAGAGGTGCAGTTCTAGAGGTTGATCTAGATTATCCAAAGGAACTCCACAATCTTCACGCAGACCTCCCACTAGCACCTCATAAGATGTTGATCACCGAGGATATGATTTCCCCATACAACAAGAAGATAAGATCTCAAAACAACCTTTCACCCTCAGAAGTGCCCAAGTTAATTACATCTCTCAATAACAGGAGAAATTACATCCTTCACGCCAGGACACTTGACTACTATGTTTCCAAGGGAATGGTTCTCACCAAAATTCATAGTGCGATTTCATTCGATCAAAGTTGCTGGCTAAAGTCATACATAGAGAAGAATACAGCTGAGAGAGCAAAGGCAACCAATGATTTCCAAAAAGACTTTTTCAAGTTAATGAACAACGCTATCTATGGAAAGACAATGGAGAATCTTAGGAAACGTACTCATGTAAAGATAGCCTCAACACCAGAGAAAGCTAAGAAGCTCATCGCATCACCTACATTCAAGGGAAGTAAGAGTCTCTCCAAAGATGCCATCATGGTCGAGCAAACTAAAGAAGTCCTTTATCTCAACAAACCATCTTACATAGGAATGGTTATCTTAGAACTGGCCAAACTTGAGATATATAAGTTCCACTACGATGTTGTCAAACCATTTTATGGTAACAAGGCACAACTAATCCTTACCGACACAGATTCACTCTTATATCAAATTGAGACTGAGGATGTAGAGGAAGATTGTGTTGTACTAGGCAAACTCCATGATTGTTGGGATAACTCAAATTATGATAAAGATTCTCCATACTTTTCCAACAAGAATAAGAAAGTCCCGGGAAAGATGAAAGATGAGATGGGAGGGCAGCAAATCGAGGAAATCTCAGCCAATAAACCAAAGTCTTATGCAATCCTTAAATCCTCAGGGAAAGAAGAGAAAAAGCTTAAAGGAATCCCCAGATGTGCAAAGGACCGGGTAATTAGTTACGCTGACGTTAAAGATTGCATATTCAAGGGCACAACAAAAAGAATCACCTGTCATACAATCAGAAGTGTCAATCACAACCTCCGTACAATCTCTCAAGATAAACTTGCCCTATCCAACTATGACACTAAAAGATACGTTCTAGATGATGGAATAACTTCACTTCCATACGGACATTATAAGATACAGTGAGATGTGTAATCCTGACTAATAATTGAAACTTGTGAGCTAAACTTGTGAGTAAAATTATCAGTCCAAGGTAAACACACACCTCACCAACTAAATGTTCCCATTCACCTCCATGAGATGGTTTAATCAAAACTTATAACCTGAACTTGTGGGCTAAGATTAATCATCTCAACTTCCATCCACTCTTAACACCCCAACCCACCCATCCTCATTTAGAAACCTATCTTCCCATTAGAGTCAAGTTGCAACCTCGAAATAAAATAATAAATAAAATAATAAATAAAATAATAAATAAAATAATAAATAAAATAATAAATAAAATAATAAATAAAATAATAAATAAAATAATAAATAAAATAATAAATAAAATAATAAATAAAATAATAAATAAAATAATAAATAAAATACCACCATTTATTTTCAAACATATTATATATAGAAACTTATAAAATGGAGTTCTCACAAATCTTTGAGTACGCACGTATCACAAAAGTTCCAGGCCAACAAATCACCGAACGCACCAAC